AAAAGAAGGGGAAAAACTAAACAAAAAGAATAAATTGGTGTTCACCATCCTCATGCCTGACCGTGGCCATCGCAGCTGCCCGGGAGCAGGGTCGGCAGCAGCACAGGAGAGCAGAGCATCACTGGCCCTGTGCCCAGAGCAAACCCCCCTCCAGGTCCAGCACCTCTGGTTATCCTCGTGGATTTCTGAGGATTTTGGAGACAAGTGCTTGAAATCACTAAATCCATCCAACTCGCTTTTTAAATTCTGGTTTTTAGGGGTGGCAGCACAGGAGCTGTGTGATCGTGCTCTGTGTTTCAAAGAAGCAATATTGTGCTTCTCCATTAATGAAGCTTAAAGAAAAAAGTACCTTGCCCATCCCCAAGGGTACTGCTCCTCCCTGGAGGTACCCAGGACCCAGTGCTCTTGCTGATCAGACGACCACCCACACGGCTTTCCTCATCATCACCAGCTCGTTGTGATGGTTCACGTTGTTTTCCCATGATCTGAGTCCTTATCAGTGACACTGAAAATCAAAAGCGGATTTCTTTCCCCCCAGCAACCTCCCCCTGCACCCCAGGAACACCTGGCTGCCTTCACTAGGCAGTGCTGAGCTTTCACACGTGTGCTTTCACACGGCCAAATGTACAGCTTGGATATACTAGACTAATGTATACATTTCTGTATGTGTATATTATGTATGTATAATAAATACCAATGTATATATTTATATTTTGCATTAATATCTTGCCATTAATGGGAATGAAATTATAGTTAGAAATTTTATTTATTAGGCCGCTGGAAGGCATGACGTAAAATACACTGACAGTAAATGAATTCTCTTTACTCTCATTTTTAGGATTTTACTAATGAAATTCTGATTTTTGGCTGTTAAAGCTTTTGGCGCCTCAAATCCATTAAAATCGCATGCAGGAGAGACATTTGAGACACAAACATTGTTATATTAATGAGATACATTAATGTGGATGGAGTCATGCTATTTCACCCAGATGAGAGCTGGCTGATTTATTATGATTATTTTTAGTTTGTAGCACCTGGGAACTCCCATTACGTTTGTCACTGTCCAAACAATTTACTTGCTGGGTCAAATCTTTCTTTTTATTCTTTGTTAATGTGCTGAACCCCACCTCTGGGCAGCTCGACGGACAGGAGGGAAGCAGAAGGGACTCTGCAAGAACAGGAGAACTTTGTGATCTGCAGCCAGCGAGGTCACAGCCCGAGTGGTTGAAGCGGTTTCAGGCAGGAGGTTTATTTGGTAACTCCCTCAGTGAATTACCCAATATAAGTAACCAAATCACAAACAAACCGACGCCGTTTCAAACAGTTCATTTGAAATGGAAGAACAGAGAAGAAAATGGGTTGCAATGTTGGGCTTGGATTTTTAAAATTGCCTGAAGGCAGCTGAAGGTGCACACGAAGGAGCAGCCCAGCTCCTTGCAGCTCAGAGAGCCTCTCAAGAGCTCCAAGAAGTCCTTGGCACAGTTCTGTCACTGCTGTGCAGTTGAAAACTCTGCATTCCCAGGTGGTGTTTCCTTTTGTGGGTGCAGTTGAGGAAGTTCAGCAGTTTGTGCCATTATTTTTTTTTTTCCTTTTTTCCCCCCCTTAAATTTTAATCTCTCATACCACAAAACACAACCAAGCCCTTCTGGTCCTGTTGCAGATGCTGCCAGCTGATGTCAAAGGCAAGGGCCTGCAAACAAGCCTTGGACTGAACACAAGCCAACTGCAATTCTCCTGCACCTCCTCCCATCCTGCAGCCACCAGTGAGCAGCCAGGTGGGCAGAGCCCACCCATCCCAGTGGCATTCCCTCATTCAGAAGAGGATGTAAAAAACACAGGTGAAGCTCTTGTTTCATTTCCCAGTTTGCATTTGGCATCTTGAATTGTCAGAGTTATTCAAAACAAAACAAAACTCCAAAAGATGAAGCTGTCAACCAGAAAAAAAGCTATTTTCCAGATTTTTCACACGCAGCCCTTGTACTTATCTCCTGCTTCAACTGGGACTTTGTGCTTAGTAGCTTATCATTACACAAGGCACTTTGTGGAAGCAAGTCCTCCCCTGTTGGAAATGCCACCGCAGTGGAGGTGACACAAAGGCCGCCCCGGTGATGCTGGTGACGTGTCTCGCCAGCCCCACAGCCCGTCAGAAGACAGAGTCGTCGAGGGCGCTGCAGTAGAGATCTTCAGCGAAGCTGCCGAACTCGGTCTCTGTCTCGCTGGTGCAGGTACGTGCTCTCTGGAAAGCAACCACCACTTTGAGCTGGGAGGTAAACTGAGGTTATCAGCTAAACTGCACTAATCCCAGAATCCCAGCATTGCCTGGATTGGAAAAGCCCTTTAAGCTCATTGAGTCCAGTCATGAACCCAACACTGACAAGCCCCCCACTAACCCATGTCCCTCAGCACTATGTCTACACGACTCTTCAATCCCTCCAGGGATGGGGACTCCACCACTGCCCTGGGCAACCCCTTCCAATGCCTCAGAACCCTTGCAGCAAAGAAATTCTTCCTCACATCCAATCTCAACTGCCCTTGGTGCAACTTAAGGCCATTTCCTCTTGTCCTGTCACTTGTTCCTTGGTTGAACAGATTAATTAAGAGAGTTGTGCACAACACATTTGACAATGTAACTCACATTTAATGCCGACATTAGAAATTCTAGGAGGTCAAAAGGCTTTAACTGAGCAGTAACAGTCTGTATGGTCCCAGCCTCACGGGGAAAGAGCAGCACACAAACACAAACATTCCTTCTAGTCAAAAAAAAAGTGACTAAAATGTTATTTTACCTCGTAGTCGTTGGGGAAGGGATCTCTGAATTTGTTGCTGGGTGTCGGAATCGGTGGAAACAGTTTACTCCATACGTGGTTTCTGCAAAAAACAGTAGTGGAGGGATGTGAAAGAATTGCTTTTTCTGTGGGATGACGTAGCCAACAAGCAGCATGTGCAGCCCTGTGAGGCATCGTGTCTCCTCGCACTGCCAGCCCTCCTGCCCCGCTCCCTGATCAGCATCTGATGGCAGCAGCAGGTTCAAAAGGGGTTAAAGGACAATGGTCCACCAACGGACACCCTGAGGACTGGGCAGGTGTGCCATTCCTACCAGGACACTTCTGGACCTTGGGGACATGTGGATGGCAAAGAGGCGGTGGGCTGATGCTCTCCCTCATCTCCCCCCCCGCCACAGAGGAGCTGGGCTGGAAGGTCCAATCCAAGGGGACGTTGCTGTGGCTTTTAGTGGCCAGCAATAGGCCTGTCTCGGAGAGAAATTAATTGCTCTGATCTGTCTGTTCACACTCACGTTCTTCCCAAGGGCTGTGTTGTCATCTGCTTTGTTTGGACATTCAAGACAGGTTGTTTCTTGCTCAGACTTTGGTTTCTGGACATAATCTGCCCATGTTTTACAGTGGGAGAGCAACTGCAAATAATTGTGTGCAGAGGGAACAAGGAGGAGGCAAGGAACAGGACCAGAGGTGGCTGGCAGCAAACGGTTCTGCTTCACCGTGTAATAACTCATCTTGCTAAACCCCCTTTGAGATGCTCCTTTCCTGCCTGACACTCTTTAGTCTGGCTCAAGCACACAGGCATATGTATTTTTGCGATAGCAAGTGCTGCAGAGTGAATTTTTTTCTTGTCTTTGATATATCCCAGAGCACAGACCACATTTTAATCAATAAAAAGCACTCGCCATCTCTACCCTTGGATAGCACGATGTCCAAACAGGACCAGGCTTTAATGGGAACTTGGCCTGAGTGCAGATTGTAGAATTTAGCCCAGAATTAGTATGTGGCACCTGTTCTGCAGAGCTAGCCTGACGTTCATGAAGCAGAGGAGTGGCCAAGGTGGAGCCCTAGCTGCTCCCCTCCTGTACCCTCAGTGCTGGGACCAAGGGCAGGTCTGCTCCTCATTTATTTTGTGGCAATTTTCCTAGTTGATGTCTAATTAGTTGAATGCTTATGTTCTTATGACTGTTCTTCTTCCAAAAGCTTCCTGAGTTCCATCAAGTTTTCTGTTATCCTATTATCCCGCCTCACCAGGGAGATGAGGAGGAATAATAGTTTCTGACTATCATTTTGGAGCTAAACCTTCCTGGCTGAGCTGCTGTTGCCTTGAAGGAGACATCAATGCTTAATGAATTATTAGGGGAAGGGACATACCACAGCTCGCAGGACAGACCTGACCCAGCAAGCTATGGGATGTCTCCTCATTGCTGCACACAGACGAGGGTTTGTGATGGAGATGTACAGCCAGAAGTGGGAATATGGGGAGGAAAAACAGGGTGTGAGTGAGTTGGTTTTAGGAGACACTTGCATCCCCTTTGTTGAAATGCTGAACACAGTCCATCACTGGCTGCAGAGGACAAGTCAAGCTGTGTGGTCACCTCCAGCAGAGTGGGTCAGTAAGGTGGCACTGGTGTGACTCAGGAGTGGGACCGGGGTGAGTGCCAACAGTAACACTCCAGCACTTGGCATCATCTCTTCTCTTCCCAGCTTTCCTGCTAAGGGTGAGGTCTTTGTGACCATACCCAGATTAGGTTTGCAAGCGTTGTTGTCCTCACGGCTCCTGCACTCCATCACATCTCCCAAGCCTTTCAGGAGGAAGGAGGCCACACTTCTCCTGTATCTTATGTCAGCTCTGAGTGGGGTTTGGATTTAGGCAGTTGCTGTGCAATGTAACCAATGAGATTTGGGTTCATTTGGAATTGGTGCATTTCTAGCTGTGCTGTTTGTCAATAAAAGATTTTGATGGAGCCATATCAAAATTATTTATTGAGTCAGCCAAAAGCGTATGTTACATGTTGTTTCTGGAATAGAAACCCTTAAGGAGGGGGTGCACAAATGCCCAATATTGAGCTACGAGGCAGAAGCACACTTGTGTTCGCAAGAGTCTCTGCAGTGAGGCGTTGGTGGGGCTGGTGACAGCGGTGCCCTCAGAATGGTCCTGTTCTTTTTTGCAAGACACTGAAAAGTTGGAGTTATGTGATTAAATATCTTGTCACAAAAAGTGTTCCAGTTATCTCTGTTTGTCTCTACATGGGTTAGAGCATGGCCCTTTCCATTAGTGCTACTTGGACCTCCAGGCTTTGGAAACACCCCATGGGATCATCATGCCTTAACTCGGTGTTTCAGAGCCTCTGACTATTGTGCTGTGTCTTGTCTGCCTGAAATTTGCCACTTTTCCCACAGGCTGTGACATGAAAAGGCCAAAGATAAATAACGTGAAAGAAGTACGAGAACAAGTTCTTCTGTTCCCTCTTCTAACTGCTACGATGAGACTGATAAAACATTTGTTTTCACAGTATGTTAGAAGTGCCTTTTCTAGTCTCTTGCCTCCCCTGAGATTCCCCGTGACATTTTCCAAACGACTTCCCTGTAGCGCGTGTCTGGTGGCTGCTGGTCGTGGACCTGAGTGTGGTGCAGAAGAGGGAGGGCAATCTGGTGGGGTCGGGATGAGCACGTTGATATCAGGGTATGGAGGGCTACTGACTGTCCTCCAGTCAATTAAGTGGAGAGCAGCTGGGAGCGAGTTATTAACTACATCCTCCTGTGGGCTCACCTCCGGGAGAAAATGTTATTCCAAGGCACAGCCTAAGGAAGTACAGAAGATGCTCATTCATAAAGACAGAGGGCAAACTAGGAAACCATTCAATTGTGCTTTTTATCAAGACAGTAACCCCATCAGTTGTTGCAAGTGAAGGGAAAAGACTATCCAAAAAGTCCCAAAGGGCTACTTTGCCTTGTAGCATTTCTCCCAAGTGGTGGTCTGAACCTCCGATGCCTGCAATCACCAGGACCTGATTGAGAATTGTATTATGTGACCTTATACATCTTGAGTTACTGTTCAAGTCATAACTTCAGGTTTCAGATTACTTAAGAAGGAAAGTCAGTTATTTTAGATTATTTGCCTAATAACATACTGCTATGGTTTTACAAGCATTATGGATCATTTGTTGTGTATCTCAATCTCTGTCTTCACAATGAGCTGCATGGAGAAGACAAGGGGCAACAATCACAAGTTGTACCAGGAGAGATTTCATCTCAATATAAGAAGGAAATTTTTTACAGTTGAAATAATCAATCGCTGGAACAACCTCCCCAGGGATGTGGTGGAGACCCTATCACTGGAGGTTTTCAAAATGCAATTGGGCAGGGTGTTAGATAACCTCGTCTAGGCTCTCTTTCCCACAGAAGGTTGGACCAGATGATCTTTTGAGGTCCCTTCCAACCTGGGCTGTTCTATCATTCTGTGATAGAACCCTTTGCTATAATGAAATTCCTTATAATGGCTTCAAATTGTATGAAATTTGAAATTATTCTGTGGCTTGAATTGCACGTACACTTCATGAATTTTCAAGAGCAGTAAAAACTGAGAGTACTAATGAACCTGTGATCTAGGGAACCTGTTCTGTTTTTCTTTAATATCCACAGATACAACAAACGAGCAGGCTTAAGCACTGAGTTTCATCTCGGTACACTTCCCACCTCCTCCCAGGGCAGGTTGGGGGACTAGAGAAGTGGCAAGAAGCAGCTTGGGAAGGGTGGAGTAAAGCTAAAAACTTAATGAAATTCAGTGCAGCAGGCAGATAAAATTATAATCACGTTGGCAGAGATGGAATGTGATGAGCATTTGGGTGCTAGGGAAGGATAAACTAGGTAGGCAGAGAGAAACCCCTAGAAGCAACCAATGTAGCATCAAGAAGCTGAACCTGGAAAAGCTAAATTTGCCTAATGTTCATAAAATGCATTAGTACAGCATCTTCAAGCTGGTCCTTGAGTAGGAGTCTTTGCCTATACCTATTTCTCCCCCTGTGTCTGTTTCAGGATCTCTGCAAAGGGTAACTGTATAATATCCAAATACTTGCAGAACTTCACAGGAGAACATGGAGTGGTATGACTGGTGCTGGAACTAACTGGTGTTGGTGTTTTGCTGTCCCAAAGAAAGAGGAGAGAGCTGATGAAGATGATGCCAGAGCAGTGGAAGACCTACAGCTACCCAGATGGGTCAATCCATAAAAGAATCAGTGATGTGAGTAAGAGTCATCTGTGGATTTCCACCCAATCCATCAAGGGTGCATAGCTGGAAACAGGCTCATATGAAGCACAACATGAATAAACTCTCTGTGGAGTTCATCTGTCTTGTTCCAAAAACGATTGATTATTGAGACCTGCTATGCTAATTAAATTGACTTAAGAACAGGTTATCACAGACACCAGACGCTTTAGGGAGAGTTAATAGCAGTTGTTCTAATAGAACATTCCTGTAGACAAGACCTTTATTTGATAAAGAGAATGCAGTTTGGAAAGGAAAACAGCCAAGGACACATCAGTATAACCAATAAATTAAAAGGCATTAAAGAAATTAAGAAGAAATTAGCAGAGTCAAGGACAGCACTCACATTACTGGAAGCTGTGTCCGTTGTGGACTGATAATTGCTGCTTGCTGCGTGTTTCAGGGGAGAAGCTTGTAATTACATTGATTCTTTAATTCATCACTTATTATTTGACTAGTCACAGCTACAGAAATTCAAAGTGCATCTGGGTTTTTTCACAGCATATTTTAGGAAGTTTGGCTATATGGCATCTGTTTTTACTACATGGCATCCATAGCTTCTGTAGTAATTAAAAATAAACTAAACAAATAGTTCAAAAACTCAAAGCAAACAATAGTTCAATGCACTCACTGCTGTTAAGAGGTCAAGAGGAGCAGCAAGCACAAAGGCACTGAATTTTTACCTCATTGATGTCAACTGAAATTCAGGCTACACACCCAGGGCCCAATATAGAGTGTAGGTCTGCAGGCTGAACTGGGCAAGACTGGGAAAATACTACCCTGTGTTTAGCTGTTTCATTTTAGCCATGACAGATGCTCTCAGCAGCTTTCACCAGGGTTACAGATAAAAAGTCCTCCTGGGGAAATCATTGACCCAACCAGATCCATTTCAGTGAAGAAACGAGATAAGGCCAAAGAGATTTTTAGCAAACTTGCCTCACTCAGTGTATGGTTTTGTTAAGATTAAATTGAAAAACCCTCTTACTCCACCAATTTTGCTGAATGTTAGTATTGATAACTAATGATTATCAATAGTATTGATAAAAAAGAATATTGAATCAACTGATGATTACTTATTCAGTACTTTTGCTTTATATAATTATGCTTGAATACCAAACTCAGTGCCCTTTCTTAAAATTAAGCAGAGCTTGTAACATCCCCCCACACCTGTTGAACACCTGGTCCTGACTTATACTGTAATTAAAAAGAAGATGATGATACTTACAGTTTGCATATTATAGCAACAAGCTTTTTTTTTGTGCAGCACGTGGACACACAAAGCACAGCGAGAATCCAGGCTACAGGATTCTCCAGTTTGTTTTGCCCTGAATTTCAAGAAAAAAATACATTAAATATATTATTTTAGGACAGATTATTTTAAACACACTCTTGCAAAAGATTTAATCAGCTGTTTTATGTGTTTATATTCAGATCACAAACTAACATGCAAACGATTGCTTGGTAGCTAGAATTAGAAATGAAATGCACGGCTTCAAGAACAATTTCCATGAAACTAATTTTTCTAATTTCAACAATGCATTTCTTTTATTTTAATGTGAAGGAGAGAACAAGCGTGAGGAGCCCGGCCCACCAGAAGGACGATATGGTCTGTAAGCTGCCGTCCTGAGACACGCAATGCCACGCAGCGCGCGCACGACTGCTGCTCAGCACAGACAGTGTTTGCTGATAATCTCAGGCACGAATGGTTTGTTTCCCATTAAACCATTCTTCATTTCTATTAATCCTTTCTAGGCAGGAACTGGATTTCTCTGGCTCCCTAAACTTGCCTGTAAAAAAGACGTCGAAACCCTCGTTTTTCTTGTGAGCTGGTTGCTGATACGTTTCCTGAGGAAGAATTTCTCTGCTGGCTCTGCCCGTGAGCAGACAGAGGTATTTCCATCAAGGTCAAAGTTTCCCTTTTGAAAAGGCATCACTCAGTGACCACAACTGTTATTTTGTGCCATGTTATGTCACACAACAAAACCATTTACACTGAACTGCGTTTTCAAAAGGCTGCCAAGTCTGTGCGTGGTTACGATAACTCCCTGTCCTGTGCACCAAGGTGTCAGCACTGCCATCGCCAGGTAGTTGGAAGGACATGAACTGGCCAGCAGCAGGAGTGCTGGCTTTCTCGGTGCCACAGACAAAACAACATTCAATTCTGGCCAGATTTGTTTCTGAGAAATGAGGAGCTGAGCCTGCTGTCCCCACCGACGGCCACAGTCGTACTGCTGTCTCCAAGAGTAGCGTGTGGATGACGCCATGAGCAGGGCTTGCGTGATCCCTCCTGCACCTCCGGACCACCCCACAGTCAACCTTGCAATTACAAATGGGTTAGGATGGTTTATTTTGTCTTCAGGTTTACCTTTTCTTTCAAGAAGGTAAGATTTTGGATGTAACTACCAATGAGTTATGCTTCGTGCAAGTCTTGAAGATGACTGGGGCAACAACCCAATTTGAAGCCTCCCAGCATGAAGGCTGGGAAGTGTCTCCATTTTCCACACCAAAACTGGCAAGGTCCTAAGTCTTTTCCTTCTTATGTCAGTTGGCAACAGTCCCAAATGGGTGTGATCAGGCAACATTAAGTCTCACTGCAACTCAAGAGTAAGATGTGGGAGAAGCAGCAACTGCAGAGGCCAGGCTGTGGCTCCAAGGACCTGCCTAGCAAGCTCCTCTTTGGGCTTCTCTCCACGATGTGCCTGGAGGTACCAGCCCAGCCCCACGCACCACTGTGGACCAGCATGAGCCAGTGCACCTGCCTAGTGAGGGGTTCAAACATAATACATGAAATGGAGGGAATAGAGGAAACTTCCTCAGAGACACAAAGCAAATTAACAGCAACGCTAATGAGATGGCTGAAGTACGTACTGAAACCCAGCGCCCCCAGCAGTAACCTGTATCGTGGCAATGATGCAACAAGCCTCTCAAAACCCCTTTTCATAACACAAATTGAATTGGACCTATCCTTGAATATTTCTGAGATTTTAGTAAATTTTTATGGAATGCTAACTTTGGGTTTTTTTACCATCAGAATGACTTTTCCATATTTGATGTTTATAGTGCATGAGTAGAGGCAGCCACAACAGCAGTGTTTCTAGGTTCCTCAGTCACCGTCACACTGCGCAGCAGAGACAGCTCCACAAGTGCTCCAGCTGACAGAGGGGCTCTCAAATCTTTCAGTCTTGCTGGGGAAGCAGAATCAGGACCACACAAATGTGCTGTGAGGTACTTCTCAGCCCCAAATTTGTCCTGTGGACTTTTTAAATGGTGAACCCTGGCTGGGGCTATCACACGTACCTACAGCTTCTCAGATCTGATGCGTATCAAGCTGCTGTGCGTAGTGCATGAGGGTCTCCAGCCCACTAATGATTTTTATCGAGCTTTATTTGACTGTAATGCTTCTAAACAGCTTTTGAGACACAGCTGGTATCGAGGTGCAGTTTTACAACACTCGTTTTGGCAGCGTAGGGCTGCATTTCACAGGGTTTGATCACCACAGCCCAAGGAAAGAAACCAGAATTGTTTCAGTTTGTAATGTTGTTGGAGGATTGCTGCTACAGGATGGGCAGTCTAAGCCAGTGGTTTTCTCAGGGTATGGGCTCAGAAGAGGTCTACTGGTCTTAAAGTTGGTCTCATCTGAATGTTTCCCTGCATAAGGGTAATAAACAGGCCCAGTTTTCTTAAGGGTGGGGGGTTTTCTTAATGGAGTGGTTGGGTCAGTGAGCCTCTCTTCCCAAGGGCTCATCATGGAGCCAGGTGGGAGGGTCAAGGGGATGTGTTAAGAGTAAGGCAGCAAAACCCCAGCAGATTTAATCACATTCACTAGCAAATAGATATAAGAGGGAAGAGTGCAGTAAACAGGAGTGTGTTAGGGACCTTTTTTTTTTTTTTTAAAGTGAAAACCAGGAAGTTAAGAAACTCAAAAGATAAGAACAAAGGAGGATGTCTAAGAAGAAACAGTTGATAATGTGCCATGATAAGGGAACTGTTATTTCCAGAAAAACACGTTCAGCAAGCAGGAAATACTGAAAAAAGTGGGGCAAATTCTCACGTTCCAAAGATGCCAAAATCATGTTCTTTCCCCCTGCCCCAACACTGAAGAGTTCAGATAGCTCCAGTAAAGTAATAGTTGACATGATCACTCATATTAACTTCCACTGTGAACATCACAATGCAAGCCAGGGAAACACATGTGAAAACTAATGAAGTAATGCAACTAAAAGCTCTTACCTAGAATTTAGGCCTTAAGCTAGTTTTAAAAAGTCTCTGAAAATATAAGCATATAAAAACAAAACACTGTCTAAAAAACCCTTCCATATGTCCAAAAGTTTGCTTGGGAGATTTTTATATTTTTTTTTTAATGGAACACAGATTTAACTCCTCTTGACATTAATAAGTCAGTTTCTTTCTTCAAATACCTATTTTCCTGGCAGCATTTGCTTTCCAGCAATGTAATAATATTCTCTACAAGACAGAAGCATGTCATTCTTACCAACAGAAATGATTTCACTCCAGTCACTCCAGAATCCTCTCGTACAACATATGTGATGATTAGCTCTTATTTGTATGGAATACCTGCTGGTAACATCTATCTGTAATCTGAAGTCATTTGAGAATATTTTCAGTATCTGTTAGGAAAACAATATTGCACTGTTATAGATTATTTAAGACAAAAAAAATTCAGAAAACAAAATTCAATAATGTTTATCTTTTTATTTTTAAAAAACTCCTTTACTAGATTAACAGTGAGCATCTGGCCTTGGTTTTGAAGTAAGAGCTCTGGGTTTACAGGTGTATTTTCTCTCATAATACACCAATGTTTCAGGGCAAATTCTTGAAAGATGCCTCATTTTTGCATTCTTCCTTAAGACACTTCATGCTGGATTTTCAGACTTGCCCATCCTCCCACTGTTCTGAACCCAGATGCATAAAGCTGAATAACTCCAATTCTTGCCCTTCTGCTTTCCTAGGTCACTTGGGGATAGTTTGTTGCAGAACTAAATGACATCCAGAAAGAGGAAAAATATAAAAACTGATGAGACTTTGGCTTTGCTGAACTCTAGTCACAAATGGGACACAAGTTTTGCCAAAAGCCCATAGTTTCAAAAAATGTACTAATAGCAGGTTTTATTTTAAATGTGTTAACATTTGTTACATATCCATGAATATGAAGACTTTTTCTAGCTATATAGGACAGGCAGTGCAGAGACAGGAACACCGTGTAATACTTGAGCATCAGAGAAGAAATTACCTGCTTGTTACCTGACTTCAAGTTGAAGAGATAAAATTCATATTCAAAACACTCTTTAGGGAAAGGAGAAATTGGCTTCTCCCATGTGGCCACGAGATCATGTTGCTCTAAGAATACAGTGATGTTTCTGGGAACATTCACTTTCTCTAGAAAAAGAAAACTGTACTGGTAAGTTGTTTACAGAGCAGAGTTTAAATACTAACAATTGGAACACTTTATAACCTGATAGTTTCCAAGTAGGACCTATAATCCTTGAATTTATTTCACATTTTGGACAGAAAAGATAAGGATTTAGGAGGAATAACTATATTGGAGAAAATAGTTAAAGGCAAAGAGTTTTAAAAATCCACTTAAAAGTTTTGAAAAACTAGATTACTGGGGAGGGGGAAGATTTCTTAAATTATTTTTCACAAAAGCATGAAATTAATGATAGAACAGTTAGTTAAAAAACTCATTTACAGGAAAAAAAAAACAGATGTAACTGGGAAAGTTACTGAAAACTGGAATAAATTCAAAGGAATAGATCAACAACTATTATGGGAATGATTTCTAAGAAGAAAGTATGTCAACTGTTTTATCTTAGTGAAGCCATGAAAAAGGAAATGCTATCTGTTTACACAAAAGTGAAAGGTGTGGAACTAATGATGGAAAATAAATTATTTGGATGGATGAAAGAGGATAGACAGTCATGGCTGACACTACCTTTTATTCAACAGTCTAACGCCTTTCTTTAAAAGGACATGGTTATCTTGAACATCATTTGTCTTTCTCCTTTTAAAGAAAGGCTGTAAAAGAAAAGGGAATAAAAACTGTACTTGAAGGAATATTGACTAAATCAACGGAAAATGAACACTGGAAATAATGCTTTGGCTAACAGAGTCATTTATTGTATTTTCTAGCTTTTTATTTTTGTCACTCTGTAATATTAAAATCAAAATTAGTTAAAATCATCCATTTCTGTCTTATAATCTCTTCCAACTTCATTAAGAAGTCTATGCAAAACCAGCACATACTTTCACCTGTATCAAAACCCATTCCATCCAGTAATGCTCTATCACAAATCTTTTGACAATCCTGCTAGACTTTTTTTTTTTCTTCAATGTATTTTTACTCACCAATGGCATTTTGGTTAAATAACTGCTGAAAAGGTTTGATTGCAGCATACTTGCTAGACCCATTGATGTGTATTACAATGAGACCATCAACTTCTTTAGGATCAATATGAGTCACTGAAAATCTGCACTCGGTATTCCTGTTCCACTTGTCTTTGGTATAATCTTGACATTCTTCAGTGTACGTCTCATACCTAAATTAAAATACTTGTGAGACATGATGCTCTTCAAGAAATACATTGGAGTATGACTAAAATGGGAGAAAACACCAACCTGTAAAATAGAAAGTATTCGGTATCTTCTGGTGCCCCTTGGCCAGGAAGCCAAGTGCAATGGAGAGAAACAGTGCTAGAAATAGTGATGCGAGTAACACAGGACAAATTAGTGACAGATGTCTCTGGAGCACCTAGAGAGTCAAGGAATTATAAAGCAGAAAGAAAAATAATATTACAAAAGTCGTATGAAATTCACATTGCTAAAACAGTCATTACAGTCTTTGGTCCATTTTATCTATGTCTGTTGTATCCCAGTTCTCTCCCTTAAAATTCACATTGCTAAAACAGTCATTACAGTCCATTTTAGCTATGTCTGTTGTATCCCAGTTCTCTCCCTTGTCACACAGGTCTATCAGTTATGGATGGATGAAGATTCCCAAGCAGTGTAAGTAAAGCTGTACAGACACCACCATTACATATTTCATGTACACTCTGCAATTCAAGGCAACATGATCTTTCAATATTCTAGAGTGTATGAAAGTGGGTTATCTTAGCAAGGAATTTTTAGAACATTTGACATGGGTTATCCATGTTCTGCCCCTCCAGATTGTACTCCAGGCTCCACAGCAGTAGAGAAAGGCCTGGACTAAATTGTTTTACAAGATCAGTGTAGCAGTATTTTTCAAGTATTAAACCTGTCACCTTTTGACTTCTACTCCACAGACCAGGGCAGAACACAAAATTCAGACCTCCCTTGCATTTCTTCTTACCTGGTGGAGGCGGGAGATTTTCCTTCACCCAGTCACTTCTCATCTGAAGGTCATTATGGAGAAGTAACGTCCGAATGTGTGCGGAGAAACCGTTGTGAAGTGCAGCTGTTCGGATACTGTGAGTCTTCTTTGTATCATACTTGAAATTACAAAAAAAAAATTAAAAAAATATCAAATAAGCACCACACGTGATGGAAGATGAATTAAGGGACCTGCAAAGACTGATTCAGTCTTTGCAAAGAGGCAAACCAGTCAGCTAGCATAGCTGGTTATATTAAGTGTATAAAGCTAGAGAATACAAATAATCCACACAAGAAGTGTGTAAGGTTTCTTATTTAAGATAGCAGGACCCTTATATTACCAAAAATTTGTCTATAGCATACAGCTGTGATGAAACATGATCTGACATCTTAATGATGTGAATTAAGTGAGCTGACTTGAATGGGGAGCAGCATCACTTAAAACCAGTATCCAGCTTCCCCTGAAGATGAAGGCTGCAGGGACTGCCAGTTCCCAGGCTCACCCTTGTCCCAGCAGTGCCGTAGCTATAAGCATAGCTGAAAGGGAATCTCTCCAGAGCTCAAAGTATATGTTTATGATATAAGAGAATAAGTGATTCAATATGCCAATTGTTCAAGAGACATATCACACCTACTGCCTTCTGGTTTGGTGCAAGATGTTTAACTCAACAGGAATTTAACCTTCTTAGGCTACTGGACTTATCTTTTATCTTACCTCTTCGGGCACAGGGCTCAGGATTTTCACATCATATATAATAGTGTAGTTTTTTTGTTCTTGATTAGGGTTTGGTTTCCAGTGTAAAAGTACTTGTGCTAATGCAGAGACTGTAAGGGTGAAGTTAACAGGTGGGAAAACCTGAACTGTAAAGGAGAAAACAAAAATATTCATAACATAGCACACCAGTGAATTGTTTAAAGCAATAGCTGTTTAAAGCAATGAGCAATACAAGCAAATAATTTCATTTCAATGTTATATTCTCTCAACAGCTTCTTATAAAATGTTTCTCATATTTGAAAAATATCTTTAAATAACAACAAAAACTTAATCAAATAAGAGTTTACTTGAAACTTAGCTTAAAAAATGAATTTTCACAACAGTTTCAACTTGAAAATCACAATGATATATTACATTTGGCTTGTTAATTAGGTTCAGGTTTTTCAACTTCTTCCTTATAGCCACATAGCCACTGGGCACCTGTACTGAAATGGGGCTGATGAAGTGATCAACTGTAGGAACAATTCTCACCCACATAAGCTTGCAGAAGAGCATGATGTGGGGGCTTTCTAAGAGAAAGCTGACAGCCACAAGAAGTTATATGTGAGAGAAGAAACAAAATGATGAACAGAGGAATTAAGCACAAATGGAAGAAAACATAGAAGGATGAGAATGATAATTTAAAATGACAGGGCAAGAGGGATTCCTGGAGCTCATATGGAAATGAGAAAGATCTCACGCTGGGGGAAAATGTTAGTGTATAAATAGCAAGGCAAGGAAATAATCAATCTACTCCCTGCCATTTCTAGAGGTTTTCAGAGCCTGTCCTCCCTTAATTACCACCTCCAAGGCAGCTGAGGGACATCAGTCCCTGCCTCTTTTCTCCCATGATTTCAACCTTTGATGCCTACTAGTTCAATTTTCAAGCATGCACCTTGCAGGAAAACTCCCTCATGACGGCTCAGAAAACCCCAATACAAACAACCCTGAACTAGTTCCCTTAAAATGTTCCTTGTTGAGATGCCCACAAAAAATATCACCATTAAGGCTGTTGGTACACCAGGATTATGCCAACGATGCTTTGTGTCACCATCTTTCTGCAGCTAACTGCAGTTTTGTTCCTGGAAGTAAAATAACTATCTGGAATAATGCCTTTGCTCTGGCTGGATTAAATTGTTGAATAAACCAGGCCAGGAACTACTGTCCAGCCCAGAGGGCAAGCAGCATGGCAGAGTTTGCATCTACATGCCTTATGATTCTTCCCTCTCAAAGCAAAACAGTCCTCAGGCACTGGCCTGGAGCGATCTAACTGAGACAGGACCCAGCTGTCCCAGGAAGCATGTTAACACAGCATGGCCATCTGTGCTCCTGTACTCATGGCATGTTTTATTCACGTGGTAGAAAGAAAATGTTTTACCTCCTGCATCTTGAGGTACATCTGGCTGAACCAATTTTGTTGTCCAAAGCAGGATCAGAAGAACTCTCATCATGCTGGCCATCACCTTTAGATGGTAAATGAGAACGGCCACCTATCAGCATAGGTGCCTTCTCACCATTTTGCAGAGGTTGATAACTGAAAATGAACACAATGCCAAGTGTTAAGCACACCAACCATGGAGCGTGGTACATCCACATGATCAAAGGAATGAAACTGCCACCTTGCAGGGGACAGACTCGTCTCCTTTCCTTGCAGGAAAATGCATCTTGTCACAGCTAAGTTCAATATAAGTACCACCAACCACATCTCATTTTGCTCCCTTTCCTTGTGCCAGCCCTTTTTGAAAAAGCTTCTGGTTTCAAACACTGTCATGTGTGGATGTTCAGAGCAGCAGTCACGGACTTAGAGCATCTTTCCACGGAGAAGAGCGAGTCAAGTTGAGGTATACTGGCTTCCTGTAGAGTCCAATTTTTTCCAAGAAGAGAAATAACCATTTTTTTAGCTGCCACTCTATATAAAATGGCTACTTACTGGAATTTACTTTCTAGTTTCTATTTCAGTAAAGCTTGCTAAAGAAACAGTCTCAGTGCTCACCTCAAGGCTAATTCTCCAGCGTTAATTATTGGGTGTAAGAGAAACTATTTTGTTTGTTTCTAATTTAAATGAACAACCATTTTTAATGCTTAAAACCAGCATGTTCTTATGCTTCCTACAGATTGTTTCATGAAGTACTGGGAGGAAAAAAAAATCTGTGTGTAATCATTCACATATAACCTAATATAAACAACATGGAAATACAGAACAGCAGCTTTCCAAAATGTTCTTACTGAAAAGAAATGTGCTCTCCCAGCCCAATCACACTACTTCCCTGGGGCACTACAGCAATTGCTTGTGTGGAAAACATAATATTTTCAGATGGTAATGAGCAGAGAAAGCATCTTTAACCCATCAGTTCTCCCTGAACCTCCAATAAATAACCCAGGGACTGGAAGTATTGAACTGATCACAGTTGGAGTACTTCTGCTATACAGTAACTATTTTTCAAACTGGTGCATGAATGCTGAGTTCATTAAAATGACACATAATCTGCAATGCAGTGTGTTTCTTAATGTCCAAGTCCACTCATTATCTATATTTATATTTTGTGTGTATCTGTTATTCTGCCTGCCAAAATGTGCACGAGGCTAATTGAACCTCTGGAGTTTGCTAAGGGATTATTCCTGGGGAGTCAGGGTTTGTTTTTACCTATGTTGGGTTATTGAAAGACATTTTAGTTCTTCCAAATGTATGTGAATCACAAACAATCAGGTAATTATTATTCACACTATACATTTATGCCCACATGACGCCTCCAAGACTACTTCCTCTTGCATTACCATTCCTGAAAAGTCAGTTCTTCTGGATTTTCTCACTTGAATGCCATACAGACCTCTGCTCCACAAGATTATGTTATTCTGGAAGGCATTATGTGGACTGAACACAAGTTTACAATAGCACCTGATCTCTGACCACCTCTGTCACACCCATACTGCTTTATCTGATAAAAACAAATTAAAAGAGCTGCTAGAACATGACACACATTTCCAATATGCTTTTGTACAAATTACTGGCATCGGGCTTTCTTTCCTGCTTCAAAAAACATTGTATATGTCATTTACCTGATGAGACTATTAAATACACTAATAATCTTTTTTTTTCTCTATTTAAAAATAAAAAATTATCAATTTCAAGTCCATGAATATAAAAACTAGCTTCTCATTTTCATGCTAGCAATAACCACAGGACAAGTCTGGCAAGAAAGCAACTCTGAACTGTGCAGATCTGTGCATGTGTGCTTTTATGCAGGTGTGCACATCTGCATTCCTACCTCTTAACATTACCCACCATGTTCACGGCTGCTCTCCCACCGACCACCTACAACCAAAATCAGCAGCTCAGAAGCCATTTCAAGCAGATTAAGCTCTTGTAATGTGAACGAGGTACCTCGGTGAGAAAGACACGAAAGCTCCTCAAAGGGCATTCCACTTGCATAGCAGAGAGATGGAGAGACAGGTTGTGCTTCCCCAGCTGCAGTCAAAGCCTTAATCAAATAAGACATCAGGTAGAACGATAAGATTTTGGGAAAGAAGCTTCATTATTTCCACTGCTAAAAGAACTCACTTAAAAAAAATCAAACAAACAAAAAAGAAGCAGTAATCACTTCAGTACGTTATTAAAACAAAAAAATCTTCAAAAAGCCTCATGTTTTACAGCTGCTTAGGATTCACATCTAGTAACTTGAATAACGTCAGTGCGTTGGTTTCAGCACTGCTCTGGCATTTAGCACCACTGAAAAGCTGGCTCTCTCTCGGGTTTCCTTAAAGTGGGTTTGGCTACCTATAGATTTTTTTTTTACTTTGTCCTCAAAAAAGAATGGTTCTGATTCTTCTTGGACACACATTCTTTTCTCTGTACTTTTGAAAAGATCCTAAAGATCAACTTTTCAAAGGTACTTCTGCTGTCCAAAAGTATGCACATATTAAATCTACCATTTTCTGAGCAGCAGTTTACTGATTAGTAACTGGATATAAAATGTTCCTGTAATGTAGATTAGTTTCCAATTATTATCCCTGTTTTTCTTATCAGTTTATCTTTTCCTGCCTTGTTTTCAAAAGTGCTATTTCTCTTTTTCTTGCTATCAGACTAAGATTGAAAATACAGCTTTTGGAACAGGTATTTCCATAGCTGTGTAAGACCACAACCTGTAAGAACACCTTGCAGTCTGTGATACCCTGTGTGTTTCATGTGAGAAATTACTGAAAAGAGAATCAAAATAAGTGCATTCCAGTAAAGAGGTTATCTAGAAATCTACAAGAGGATTACGTTCCTCACAAAAATGGATATAGTAAGTTCTCAGGACAAATAAAAGCCTTGATTATATTATGTTTTGGTTATATATGGTAAAAGTAATAAGCAAAAGGTAAAGGACTATACCCTTATAACCCTGTAAAGGGTATGCTCCTTCTTAAAGGACTGTAGAAATCCAAACTATAGAAAACAGCCTCTAAAAGGTAATGATTTCCTTACTCATAGCTGACGTGTCCCACTATCTCACAGGTCAGAAGCAGATTCCAGATGCATTTCCCAGCGTAAGGCAAAGCTGCCTTTGACAAGCAGGACCTTTGCAGTCTTCAAACAAAGCACAACAAGACAAAACCCAATTGCAACAGATATCCCAGGAGGTTACCTGCAGAGTCTCAAAAGTTCTGTGAAGAGTCTCCTCCTTTTGTTCCAACGTCCTCTGGGTCATCTCCCTGTGGGTTTCTTTTATAACTGCTGTCTTTCAAGTACAAATGTGATAGGTTCTTCAGATGTGATGGCAGATGATAAGCATGCATTGAAAAAGGGAACTACAGATTTAACCACAGGATGGAAGGCTCCATACAAGCACACAGTTTAGCCCAGAAAGCGTTTTACTTTATTTATTGAGGGTTAATTATATTCCACAGGCTGATAATTCTCTAATAACTTTGCAAGAGCAGGTATGTTTAATGACTGACTGCAAAGACATAACCTATACCCAGCTACCTACGGATCACTGCTGATATCCCAGGTTGTTCTTCCCCTAGAAAATAAAATCCAAACATTGCTGGAAAACTGTGCAGGTTTTGTCCAATGGTTTTATACCATCTTGTCCAACGCTCCTGCCTACAGCCCTGTGGGCATCAGCGGCATTTTGAGACGTTACCAGCCCCAGAACAAGACCATTTCCCTAACCTCGTACTGAGAGCTTTGAGCTGTGATTCATGGTGCTGGATAACACAGGCTCACAAACAGGACAAGCAGAAGAAACAAACCCTAGAGAAGATCCTATGTGGGGTGGAGAAGACCCTATGTGGAGCTATATGTGATGGAGTTATAGGAAGGACAAGAAGGTGGCTAATGACTTACATCATTAACATTCTGGTTTGCAAGTGCAGAGAACCCTATGAAATGTGCAGGTGACACAAGGTGGGAGAGGTGAGTGCTTTGGAGGCTAAGACTAGAATTAAGAAAGTTCTTGACAAATTGGTGCAGTTCAATACGGACAAGCTCTCAACTGCATTTAGGCATTATCAACAGTAAATTACTGTCTATAAATCATCAATTATCAACTGATTAGGTATCTGTTCCGCAGAAAAGGATCTGGGGTTTTGGAGGGTCATGAACTGATGAGGAACAAACAATGTTACGCACTTGTGAAAAAGGCACCCGGGGTCAGTTAAAAGTGAGTGTCCTCTGCAAGACACATGAAGTAATCCTTCCGCTCTGCACGGCGCTGATAAAGCCTCCGCTCACACGCGCTGCGTCAAGCTCAGACACCGCGCTTCAGAAAGCCATGGAGCAGATGAAGAGAAGCCAGTACGCAGCCAAGGATACTACCAGAGCCTAAAAAGGACCAGCGAGGAAACAAGTTAAGGCAAGACTTGTGCAGAAATGTAACACTTTAAGCCTTTCACATGCTCTCCAGATCCATTGGGCTGCGACTAGAAGATAACGGCAAGTAAAATTCAGGTTAGATATCAGGGAAAGCTTTCAGTGCTGGATAAGGAGGCGGTGGAGCAGGCGCCTGAGGACTAAAAGAAACTCTGTCACTGGGCATCTGTAGACAAACATCAACCAGGAATGACAGTCGTAATCAAATTCTGCCATCAGGCACGGAGATAAATCAGGAGACTGCCTAAGGTCTGGCCAGCCCATGTGTCTCTTGAATAAACAGCTAATTACTGGGCAGAGAGCTCTGACATGTACAGTGAAATGTTGCTGTAGAAAAGAGGTAATTTCTAAAGGTAGATCAGGAATTTAATAAGAAACAGTAATCGCAAAAAAAAAAAAAGGGTAAGAAAAGGTTATGTTCTTACACAGGCCTGACTATATTATTGTAGATCTGAGATGGTTTTTTGCAATAGGTCATTCCAAAAAACCCTCTTTTGTGCTCACAAGCACACTCCTGCCTGCACTGAGATGCTTTGTTAGCTGCTTAAAAGGCTGGATAGATCTGTGTAAGGTTTCTTCCCAATTACCAAGAGACCTGTAGCACTT